GATAGATGGATGTGTGGATGTATGTATGTGTGGGTTAATGGATGTGTGGATAGTTGGATGTGTGGATTGATGGATGTGTGGATAGATGGATGTGGGGATAGATGGATGTGTGGATAGATGGATGTGTGGATAGATGGATGTTTGGATGTATGTATATGTGTGGTTTAATGGATGTGTGGATAGATGGATGAGTGGATAGATGGATGTGTGGATGTATGTATGTGTGGGTTAAAGGATGTGTGGATAGATGGATGTGTGGATAGATGGATGTGTGGATAGATGGAGGTGTGGATAGATGGATGTGTGGATAGATGGATGTGTGGATAGATGGATGTGTGTATGTATGTATGTGTGGGGTTAATGGATGTGTGGATAGATGGATGTGTGGATAGATGGATGTTTTGATGTATGTATGTGTGGGTTAATGGATGTGTGGATAGATGGATGTGTGGATAGATGGATGTGTGGATGTATGTATGTGTGGGTTAATGGATGTGTGGATAGATGGATGTGTGGATAGATGGATGTGTGGATAGATGGATGTGTGGATAGATGGATGTGTGGATAGATGGATGTGTGGATGTATGTATGTGTGGGTTAAGGGATTTGAGGATAGATGGATGTGTGGATAGATGGATGTGTGGATAGATGGATGTGTGGATGTATGTATGTGTGGGTTAAGGGATGTGTGGATAGATGGATGTGTGCATAGATGGATGTGAGGATGTATGTATTTGTGGGTTAATGGATGTGTGGATAGATGGATGTGTGGATAGATGGATGTTTGGATGTATGTATGTGTGGGTTAATGGATGTGTGGATAGATGGATGTGTGGAAAGATGGATGTGTGGATGTATGTATGTGTGGGTTAATGGATGTGTGGATAGATGGATGTTTGGATAGATGGATGTGTGGATAGATGGATGTGTGGATAGATGGATGTGTGGATAGATGGATGTGTGGATAGATGGATGTGTGGATAGATGGATGTGTGGATGTATGTATGTGTGGGTTAATGGATGTGTGGATAGATGGATGTGTGGATAGATGGATGTGTGGATGTATGTATGTGTGGGTTAATGGATGTGTGGATAGATGGATGTGTGGATAGATGGATGTGTGGATAGATGGATGTGTGGATAGATGGATGTGTAGATAGATGGATGTGTGGATGTGTGGATGGATGGATGTGGGGATAGATGGATGTGTGGATGTATGTATGTGTGGGTTAATGGATGTGTGGATAGATGGATGTGTGAATGTATGTATGTGTGGGTTAATGGATGTGTGGATAGATGGATGTGTGGATAGATGGATGTGTGGATAGATGGATGTGTGGATAGATGGATGTGTGGATAGATGGATGTGTGGATAGATGGATGTGAGGATGTATGTATGTGTGGGTTAATGGATGTGTGGATAGATGGATGTGTGGATAGATGGATGTGTGGATGTATGTATGTGTGGGTTAATGGATGTGTGGATAGATGGATGTGTGGATAGATGGATGTTTGGATGTATGTATGTGTGGGTTTATGGATGTGTGGATAGATGGATGTGTGGATAGATGGATGTGTGGATGTATGTATGTGTGGGTTAATGGATGTGTGGATAGATGGATGTGTGAATAGATGGATGTGTGGATAGATGGATGTGTGGATAGATGGATGTGTGGATAGATGGATGTGTGGATGTATGTATGTGTGGGTTAATGGATGTGTGGATAGATGGATGTGTGGATAGATGGATGTGTGGATGTATGTATGTGTGGGTTAATGGATGTGTGGATAGATGGATGTGTGGATAGATGGATGTGTGGATAGATGGATGTGTGGATAGATGGATGTGTGGATAGATGGATGTGTGGATAGATGGATGTGTGGATAGATGGATGTGTGGATAGATGGATGTGTGGATAGATGGATGTGTGGATGGATGGAAGTGGGGATAGATTGAGGTGTGGATGTATGTATGTGTGGGTTAATGGATGTGTGGATAGATGGATGTGTGGATAGATGGATGTGTGGATGTATGTATGTGTGGGTTAATGGATGTGTGGATAGATGGATGTGTGGATAGATGGATGTGTGGATAGATGGATGTGTGGATAGATAGATGTGTGGATAGATGGATGTGTGGATAGATGGATGTGTGGATAGATGGATGTGTGGATAGATGGATGTGTGGATAGATGGATGTGTGGATAGATGGATGTGTGGATGTATGTATGTGTGGGTTAATGGATGTGTGGATAGATGGATGTGTGGATAGATGGATGTGTGGATGTATGTATGTGTGGGTTAATGGATGTGTGGATAGATGGATGTGTGGATAGATGGATGTGTGGATAGATGGATGTGTGGATAGATGGATGTGTGGATAGATGGATGTGTGGATAGATGGATGTGAGGATAGATGGATGTGTGGATAGATGGATGTGTGGATAGATGGATGTGTGGATAGATGGATGTGTGGATAGATGGATGTGTGGATAGAAGGATGTGTGGATAGATTGATGTGTGGATAGATGGATGTGTGGATAGGTGGATGTGTGGATGTATGTATGTGTGGGTTAATGGATGTGTGGATAGATGGATGTGTGGATGTATGTATGTGTGGGTTAATGGATGTGTGGATAGATGGATGTGTGGATAGATGGATGTGTGGATGTATGTATGTGTGGGTTAATGGATGTGTGGATAGATGGATATGTGGATAGATGGATGTGTGGATAGATGGATGTGTGCATAGATGGATGTGTGGATAGATGGATGTGTGGATAGATGGATGTATGGATAGATGGATGTGGGGATAGATGGATGTGTGGATAGATGGATGTGTGGAGAGATTAATGTGTGGATGTATGGATGTGTGGATTAATGGATGTGTGGATAGATGGATGTGTGGATGTATGTATGTGTGGGTTAATGGATGTGTGGATAGATGGATGTGTGGATAGATGGATGTGTGGATAGATGGATGTGTGGATAGATGGATGTGTGGATGTATGGATGTGTGGATAGATGGATGTGTGGATAGATGGATGTGTGGATAGATGGATGTGTGGATAGGTGGAGGTGTGGATAGATGGATGTGTGGATAGATGGATGTGTGGATATGATTGCTGACCTCGAACAAAAAGCCCAGCACGGCCAGACCCTGGAACTGTGTGGCTGCAGCTGCCAGACTGCCCAGAGACTTCTTGTAGTGGACGATGTGCAGCTGGACATGAAAGGGGAGACAAGAAGACAAGTCGTTACATCAGTGGATGGGGGGGGGGGCAAGCAGACAAGGTGTTACGTCATTTGATGGGGGGGGGCATGTAGACAAGTTGTTACGTCATTTGATGGGGGGGGGGCATGCAGACAAGTTTTTACGTCATTTGATGGGGGGGGGGGCAAGCAGACAAGGTGTTACGTCATTTGATGGGGGGGGGGGCATGCAGACAAGGAGTTACGTCATTTGATTGGGGGGGGACAAGTTGTTACGTCATTTGATGGGGGGGGGCATGCAGACAAGGTGTTACGTCATTTGATGGGGGGGGGGAGTTAGGGGGCATGCAGACAAGGTGTTACGTCATTTGATGGGGGGGGGGGGGGCAAGCAGACAAGGTGTTACGTCATTTGATGGGGGGGGCAAGCAGACAAGGTGTTACGTCATTTGAGGGGGGGGGGTTAGGGGGCATGCAGACAAGGTGTTACGTCATTTGATGGGGGGGGGGGGTAAGACAAGCAGACAAGGTGTTACGTCATTTGATGAAGGGGCATGCAGACAAGGTGTTACGCCATTTAATGGGGGTGGGGGACATGCAGACAAGTTGTTACGTAATTTGATGGGTGGGGGGCATGCAGACAAATTGTTACGTCATTTGATGGGGGGGGGGAATGCAGACAAGTTGTTACGTAATTTGATGGGTTGGGGGCATGCAGACAAATTGTTACGTCATTTGATGGGGGGGGGGGGGCATGCAGACACGTTGTCACGTCATTTGATGGGGGGGGGCATGCAGACAAGTTGTTACGTCATTTGATGGGGGGGCATGCAGACAAGTTGTTACGTCATTTGATGGGGGGGGGTATGCAGACAAGTTGTTACGTCATTTGATGGGGGGGGCATGCAGACAAGTTGTTACGTCATTTGATGGGGGAGGGGCATGCAAACAAGGTGTTACGTCATTTGATGGGGGGGGCATGCAGACAAGGTGTTACGTCATTTGATGGGATGCATGCAGACAAGGTGTCACGTCATTTGATGGGGGGGGGGAGGGGAAGACAAGCAGACAAGGTGTTATGCATTTGATGGAGGGGGGGCATGCAGACAAAGTGTTACACATGTAAAAATAAACAGGGAGTGATCTCACCTAAACTTTCTCGAATATTCTTATATGAAACAACAGGGGTTGGCAACTCGGTATAGAGAAATGATTTTTAATTTATTTTAAATACTTAAAGTTTTAAAATAGAATAGAATCTCGTAGAAAAAACAATTGCACACCAAGTGAACGCCAAATAAAATGGGCGTAATAGTGCGGAATATTATTAGTACTTTATAAATTCACATGCGTTTTTTGAGAAATCGGAAATAGCAAAAATTACTACTTCATGTCAACAGAAATCACACAAATTATGTCAGAAGGCAGAAAATAGATCTGTTATATGTGAAATTTCATTTATCTGTCTGAAATAGTTCTCAAGTTATAGACTTTTGAAAAATTGAAAGTAGAAAAAGTTCCACTTCCGGTTATCGGAAATCGCTTAATAATAGTTGATACGGATCTACGATTTTGATATTATACTTATATATGAAATTTCATCGACCTAGCTGTAACGGTACTCAAGTTATCGTGTTTACAGACACACATACACACATTCACAGACATACAGAGAAGATTGCAAAACTATGTTTTTCCGACTCAGGGAGGTGTAAAACGTCGAGTCTTCCAAATTACAAAACTTTCTCTATACTTCGTATATACGAGAAAGTAAAAATGTTAGACTTTCCTTGGGCAACTTTCCACTTGCTCAAGTTTCAAGACAATTCTATAAGCCAGCAATTCTTACCTCCATGGGGAACGACTTGCCGTTGATGGTGTGTTCGGATCCCTGTAGGTCGGTGGAGCCCCAGTGGAAGTGGAACTGTGCAGCCACGTACGGCTCGGTCAAACCGGAACCGGAAATAGAAATCTCAGTGCCAGAGATGTCCACTTGAGCTGGACAAGGTCAAGGCTGTTAGACTTCTGGCACCAAACGTCTAATAAATAATGTCGTTACCCACCCTCCCTACAATTATCTGATTTGGATCAGTGTCGCTTCATGTCACTGTCACACGTTACTGCCAAATGTCAGTGTCACATGTCACGCTATCAAGCCACATGTCCCACGCTACTTTCACACGTCACACGACACTGCCAGATGCCACTGCCAGATGCCACTGCCAGATGCCAGTGCCAGATGCCACTGCCAGATGCCAGTACCAGATGCCACTGCCAGATGCCAGTGCCAGTGCCAGATGCATGTGCCACATGTCACTGCCAGATGCCACTGCCAGATGCCACTGCCAGATGCCACCACTACTAACCTGCATGTCCACTGTTCTTGAGCCTCATGACCACGCCGGCCGAGGTCTCGTAGTTCTTGTAGACCATGACAGGCAGGGGTTCCTCCACGGTGTAGAAGGTCTCAATGTTGATGGGGGACTGGCTGTAGGCACCGCAGTTTGAGAACGTCTCACGCCAGTGGGTGCCTGCGGGAGTCACGTGGCTTGTTATGGTAGGGTCAAGTTGTGGTACCACAAAATCTAACACTTTATCACTTGTGTTTCTTCCAGATTATTTTTCCGGGGAGGGGGAGGGGGGGGGGGGATTGGACTGGTACAAGTATATGTTTTCTATACAAATTCCATTTCGTTCTATGGACTTTCTTTGGGAGGTCATAGCCGCTCCCCCCTCCCCTCCCCCTGGAAGAGATACCTGGAAGAAACTCTGTGTGCTATAGGAACGAATGAATTTAAGACTTACTTTCACCATGGGCGTATCCCCAATGGACATCTGCAAAAAAAAATGTTCAAGTTATTTAGTTGGTGGCGTAGACAGGGGGTGGGGGGGGGTGTGGGACAGATATGAAAACAAATGTGTTCCATCCTTTATCCTTTGTCTGCCTAGGTTTGTGTATTGATCAAGCAACTATAAAAACGTTCATGATAGCAATGCCCTCAATGCACTCAATGCCCTCAATGCTCTCAATGCACTCATAACAAGACCATAGACATATTTCTTTGGTTACATTGGTAAACATACAAACAAACGGACCAAGTTAAAGAAATCACGTCAAACAAAAGTTTGTACACCTACAAGCGTTGGTTAGAAATTTTTTTTTATACGATAAAGTCATTAAAGTTGACTTACGTGGGTCAAAGTTGGCTTTAACCACCCGGTCATTCAGGGGCTGGACGGGACGGGCGTTGTGACTGATGGGGGAGCGAGTGTGGTCCAAGAGGCTCCGGAACTCGTTGAGCTGGGTGTTTATATACAGTAGTATATATATATATATATATATATATATATATATATATATATATATATATATATGTATGTATGTATGTATATATATAATTACTACATATCTAATAACATAAATGGTCAGCAATAATTGTGGTAACGTTATTTGATCTGGACACAAACGTTGTTAAGTCTGTCAATTCCATTGACCATCCGATTAAAAAAAAATTCAACCATAGCAGTTTGTGGAAGAAAACAAACTTCCGTTCAAAAATTCAAAACTCTATACTCTATGCTAAATATGGAAGCTAAATTTAGATCACAGTTGAGAGCTGCTTATTTCCACACCCTCAGATAATACTAGTACTTCCCATTTTTTAAACCAAACTGAGTATTTATTTATAGAACTTAGACCCCGCCTACTTGGGCTTCCGAGATGTTGATTGGCTCCTTGTAGACAGTCCACGTGACAGACTCGTCACACGGGGGAGTTGTGAGACTGCCCGGGTATCGATAAAACTGGTGGAACGATTCCGGAAGTATCGTTTTAATGGCAAATGGTTTCAAATCTACAGTAGTGTCTGTTGATATAAACAATTGAAAAATGTTCTAGACTTCTAGAATATATTGTTTATATAAAAAATGTGAAATGTTCTAGAATATACTGTTGACATAAACAAACGAAAAATGTTCTAGAATATATATTTGACGATCACATGGAGTAATTGTCAGCAGAGTTTCTTCCAGGCATCTCTTCGGGGGGGGGGGGGGGGGGGGGCACACCCAGAACGAAATGGAATTTATATAGAAAATATATACTTTTGACAGTGTCCCCCCCCCCACCCCCCGGAAATTTCAAGTGCACCCCCGGAGAAAAAAGTCTGGAAGAAACACTGTGTGGGACTGAAGCAGACGTACCGACACTCCTGATGCTGGCCAGACTTGAGACGATCTGTGAGAGGGCCGGGTTGTCTGTTTTAGACATCTGCAAGGGCAAGGTCATGTTCAGAAACAGGATAAGTTATAGGTAACTAATAAAGTTGAACAAAGTGTTGATAAAGTTGAACAAAGTGTTGATAAAGTTGAACAAAGTGTTGATAAAGTTGAAGAAAGTGTTGATAAAGTTGAACAAAGTGATGATTAAGTTAATAAAAAACCGGGAGTGATCTCCCCTACACTTTCTCGAATATTCTTATATAAAATAACAGGGGATGGGAACTCGGGCTATAGACATGATTTTTAATCCATTTTAAATACTTAAAGTTTTAAAAATAGAATAAAATCTCGTAGACAAATTAATTGCACACCAAGTGAACGCGAAATAAAAAAGCGCATAATAGTGCGCAATATTATTATTACTTTTAAAATTTATATTAGTTTTTTGAGAAATCGGAAGTAGCGTAAAGTACTACTTCCAGTCAACGGAAATGACTCAAAATTTAATAGAAGGTAGAGAATTAGATCTGTTACTTACGTATGAAATTTCATTTATCTATCTGAAATAGTACTCAAGTTATAGGCTTTTGAAAAATTCAAAGTAGGAAAAGTACCACTTCCGGTTATCGGAAATCGCTCAAAAGTTGATACGGATCTACGATTTTGATTAAATACTTACATATGAAATTTCATCAACCTAGCTGTAACGGTACTCAAGTTATCGTGTTTACACACAGACACACACACACACACACACACACACACACACACAGACACACAGACACACAGACATACGGACAAGATTGCAAAATTATGTTTTTCCGTATCAGTGAGATGTAAAACGTCGAGATTTGCAAAAATCTCGATTTTTTTTTTGCACGATTACAAGACTTTCTCTATACTTCGTATATACGAGAAAGTAAAAAAGTGTCGATAAAATTGAAGAAAGTGGTGATAAAGTTATATAAACAGGGAGTGATCTCCCCTAAACTTTCTCGAATATTCTAATATAACACTACGTGGGATGGCAACTCGGAATATAGACATGATTTTTGTTTACTTAAACTTTAAACAAGTTAATTAAAAAGTCTAGTGACATTTAAGCGCAATTTCCTTATGTTATCTAAAAATAGCTCTGTCGTAGCATAATCAAGAGCAGGGTTAGTAAAACCATTGGTTAGTTATTAAAACGTTTTTTATTAAATTTTTATCAGTATTTTACATGTTTTATTTACAATAGAGTTACATGAGTAAAAACCTAGCTAGCGCCTGATGTCGCAGCCATTGAACGTGATGGCGCAGCTATTGAACGTGATGACGCGTGTGGTGTGGTTGGAAAAAATGCCTACTAATTCGGTCCAAATTTTAATTAATTCAAAATTTTTTTTGTGACCGAACGAAAGGATATTTTTGAAAACTTTCTTCGACAATATTGTTCAAAATTATGGCAGGAATCGATTGGTACATGTTTCAAGTCGCTAAGTGGTCTGGTTGCCGAGATATGGGCAAAAAACTGCTTTTTTCGAGGTTTTTTGGCTTTTCCGGGAAATCCATGAAAGAAACCCGGAATTTATATGGCCTATGCTCATCCTCGTAACTTGCTTAACATAATTGCTTTTGGAACTAGTCATCGATATTGCTTCGTTGAGGAGGAGATACGACTTAAAGCTGCGGACACACATTCATCCATTCATCCATCCATCCAGAAATGACGGGTTAATAAACGCAATTCTCCAGAATGGAAATTGCGCTAAAAATAGAAAAAAATCTAGTAGAAAAATGAATTGCGCACCAAGCGAACGCCAAAACAAAATGTGCATAATAGTGCGCAATATTATTAGTATTTTATAAATTTACATGCGTTTTTGAGAAATCGGAAATTGCGTAAAATAGTACTTACTTCCGGTCAACGGAAATTACTCAAAATTTGACAGAAGGTAGAGAATTAGATCTTTTACTTACATGTGAAATTTCATTTATCTATCTGAAATAGTACTCAAGTTATATGCTTTTGAAAAATTCAAAGTAGAAAAAGTTCCACTTTCGGTTATCGGAAATCGATCAAAAGTTGATCAGGATCTACGATTTTCATAAAATACTTATATATGAAATTTCATCAACCTAGCTATAACGGTACTCAAGTCATCGTGTTTACACACAGACACACACACATACACACACAGACATACGGACAAGATTGCAAAATTATGTTTTTCCGTATCAGTGAGGTGAAAAACGTCGAGATTTTTAAAAATCTCGATTTTTTTTTTGCACGATTACAATACTTTCTTTATACTTCGTATATACGAGAAAGTAAAAAGTGTTGATACAGTTGAACAAAGTGTTGATAAAGTTGAACAAAGTGTTGATAAAGTTGAAGAAAGTGTTGCTAGTCACCTTGAAGACAAAACCTAGAACAGCCAAGCCGTCACCTTGAGACAGGGCTGCATCAAAGTCCGGGTACTTGGTGTTGTAGTGGACGATGTGGAGCTGTTACCGCACGGGATGAAAGACACATGAATAGCAAATACATGTTTGGGAACACGCGTAGAATGTATTGCACACTT